TTTAAACAGTACACTATGATAGCTTAAAAAACTCTGCAGAAGCCCTAAACACTGATCATTATCTGAGCTCCAGAGATACATGTTTGTGTTTTACAAGATTGTGCCCAAGACTTATCTCTTAGATAAAGTTTTAGGGGATCAAAGGCTTACAGCAACTGATGTGGCCTGACATACTAAATAATCTGTTTTTATTGTCACTAAATATTACTTTATTGTTACTAAATAATACTTACTTTTCACTATGTTGGATTTTAAAATAAGGAGAGGATGAACTGGACTGCTCTGCAGTCGACTGAGCTGAAAAAAGTTCCTCTGATATTAGTGACCTTGAGTAACTTGTGAGGTATGTCACTTCCAGTATTCCCCATTCTGAAGGGTTATTGCTATTTAATATGAGCATACTTTGTATAAGTGTTTTTCTAGATAACCTAAAACCTATAACCTGCAATTCTTACTTATACTTTAAGGACTGATAAAATATTTAAATCATATTCATGATATACAACTTTATAAAACCCTAATGTACATAACTGATTAAAAATAAACAATAAAACTATAAGGAACCACAGTTATTTCAACAAAAATACATAAAATGTGAAGTGTCACACAGGGAATTGTAGGAATGTCAATTTACAGTTTTTCACTGTATATTATACAATGATTTGTTCTTTTTCACTTTCAAAAACTGTAAATTTAACGGTATTTTACTGTAAAATTATATCACAGTTATTTACCGTGTATAGTATGGAAACTTTCTGTTTGCCAATTAACAGTTTTGCACTGTAGCATTTTTACAGTTAAAATTTTTACAGCATTTTTACAGTTTTGCACTGTAGTATTTTACTGTTAAAATCACGGTTATTTTTTTGCAGCAATCCTGTACTACATAGCAAATGTCTGCTGCGTGATTGTTTATTTAGATGCCAAATGTAAACTATATTATTGCTCAGTTCATTAATCATTTATAAAGCATTAATATACATTTATTCGCAGATTTCAAAGCATATCTATAATGTGTTTAATAATTGTATTTTCATTCTTTATTATTTCTAAATGAAGTATTGCATTATTTACAAACCAGTTATTTAGACGTTGTCAGTGGTTCATAAGAACGTGCAGAGTAAAAAAGAGAAATTTAGAAAGTGTAGGCCTAAGTAAATCATTAATAAACTATTTAAATCTACATTCATGCATCTTATTTTTCAGACATATAGTAATAGTTACTTAGTGTGTTAATAAATGCTTTATTAACATGCATTCTTGCTATAATTTATTTCATATAAGGCATTTAGTAGTGGTCAGTTAACTTTTTTTGTGAGTTCATGTAATGTGAGCTCACCGAAAGTGAGGACAATTTATGAATCATTTACTTACACTTTCTAAGTGATCTTAAGAACCACTGGAAACTCTTAAATAACTGGTTTGTAAAATAATACTTCATTTAGAAATGATAAATTGATCAAGTACAATTATTAAATACATGTTTATAAATCAAGAATAAAGCATTTATAGCTGTATTTATAAACTGCTTGTTAATGTCTACTAATGCTTAACTAATGATTAATAGTGAGCAGTTATTATAAAGTGTTCCCAAGCACTTTCTTTAGTGGTATCTTTGTTACACATTACACATATGTAATTATATACAACTAAACCTGAACTAAACCCTAATCCTAATCTTTACACTCTGTTGTTAAATGAGAATCATAAACACGGGACGTGATGGAAAACTGTCCATTGTGCCAATAGGTGGTATGCACATGAGTTTTGCCTTGATGTTGAGAGTGGCGTGGGATCTGTACTTCAGCCATGGGAAAGATTTAAATTTCGGGACACATCATCAGTAATGTGCCTTTGAATCAGGGGATTTTTCGGCCTTTCAACACTAGACACCCTCATCAAAGGTGGCCAGCTACAGGGTGATCAAACCTGAGCTTGTGTCCCATGCCCAATCATAAAAATTAGGACTATGCAAGGCAGGAGGCGTCCTCTTCCCTGAGTCAAGCATAAGGCTGACCGCATACCTTCAGCCTCCTCATGGAGGGTTGTGACCTGGGTTCCCAAGGGGGTTATAGGGTGGGGGGATTAGTGAGTGGGTCACGTTGATGCTCTTTGAGCCCAACAGGGATCCTTCCTCTTAATCCAGATCCACTGGCTGCTTCTTTCGGATGCTTCAGAGACTGATCTAATATTACACGAGTACACAATTACTATGTTATTAAGACACCTTAAAATAAAGTGTAACCAGAACTGGGTATATGTATATAAGTACTGGTCATCCTGTCCAGGGCATTTCCCTAACTATGCCGCAAGACCCTGGGATAATCTTCAGGATCCTTGCGAACCTATGACAAGCAGTTTGGAAAATGGTTGGGCGAAGATAATTCCATCCATCCATCTTCTTCCGCTCATCCGGGGCCGGGTCGCGGGGGCAGCAGTCTAAGAGATGGCCAGACTTCCCTCTCACTAGACACTTCCTCCAGCTCTTCTGGGGGGACACTGAGGCGTTCCCAGGCCAGCCGGGAGACATAGTCTCTCCAGCGTGTCCTAGGTCTTCCCCGGGGCCTCCGCCCAGTGGGAGGTGCCCGGAACACCTCCCCGGGGAGGCGTCCAGGAGGCATCCGGAACAGATGCCCGAGCCACCTCAGCTGACCCCTCTCGATGTGGAGGAGCAGCGGCTCCCGAGTGACCGAGCTTCTCCACCAACCTGAAGTGAGCAAGCCACCCTTTTCCGACTGAGGACCATGGCCTCGGATTTGGAGGTGCTGATTCTCATCCCAGCCGCTTCACACTTGGCTGCAAACCCTCCCAGTGCATGCTGAAGGTCCTGGTGTGAAGGGGCCAACACGACAACATCATCCGCAAAGAGCAGAGACGAAATCATGTGGTCCCCAAACCTGAAACCCTCTGGCCCCTGGCTGCGCCTAGAAATTCTGTCCATAAAAATTATGAACAGAACCGGCGACAAAGGGCAGCCCTGCCGGAGTCCAACATGCACTGAGAAGAAGTCTGACTTATTACCGGCAATGCGAACCAAGCTCCTGCTTCGGTCATACAGGGACCGGACAGCCCTTAGCAAAGGACCGTCCATTTTCCCGGAGCACCCTTCACAGGCCGCCTCGGGGGACACAGTTGAATGCCTTCTCCAAATCCACAAAACACATGTGGACTGGTTGGGCAAACTCCCATGAACCCTCCAGCACCCTGTAGAGAGTATAGAGCTAGTCCAGTGTTCCACGGCCCGGACGAAAACCACACTGTTCCTCCTGGATCCGAGGTTCCACTATCGGCCGTATTCTCCTCTCCAGTACCCTGGCACAGACTTTCCCAGGGAGGCTGAGAAGTGTGATCCCCCTGTAGTTGAAACACACCCTCCAGTCCCCCTTCTTAAAAAGAGGAACCACCACCCCGGTCTGCCATCCCAGAGGCACTGTCCCCAACTGCCACGCGATGCTGCAGAGGCGTGTCAACCAAGACAGCGCCACAACATCCAGAGACTTGAGGTATTCAGGGTGGATCTCATCAACCCCCAGTGCCTTGCCACCGAGGAGTTTCTTGACTACCTCGGTGACCTCAGCTAGGGTGATGGACGAGTCCACCTCTGAGCCCTTAACCTCTGCTTCCTCAATGGAAGGCGTGAAGGCGTGACGACGGCTAACCCTAACCCTAACCCTACTGTAAACAGCATTGGTAGCAGACTGTTTCCCTCTCCTGAGGCGCCGGACAGTTTGCCAGAATCTCTTCGAGGCCAGCCGATAGTCCTTCTCCATGGCCTCACCGAACTCCTCCCAGGCCCGAGTTTTTTCCCCCACAACCACCCGGGCTGCATGTCCACTTGGCCTGCCGGTACCTGTCAGCTGCCTCCGGAGTCCCACAAGCCAACCAGGCCCAATAGGACTCCTTCTTCAGCTTGACAGCGTCCTTTACTTGGGGATTGCCGCCTCGACAGGCACCGGAGACCTTACGGCCACAGCTCCGAGCAGCCGCTTCGACAATGGAGGTGGAGAACATGGTCCACCCAGACTCAATATCTCCAGCCTCCCTCGGGATCTGGTCGTAGCTCTGCCGGAGGTGAGAGTTGAAGATCTCTCTGACAGGAGATTCGGCCAAACATTCCCAGCAAATCCTTACAGTACACTTGGGTCTGCTGAGTCTGTCCAGCTTCCTCCCCCGCCATCGGATCCAACTCACCACCAGGTGGTGATCAGTTGACAGCTCCGCCCCTCTCTTCACCCGAGTGTCCAAGACATACGGCCGCAGGTCAGATGAAACGACCACAAAGTCGATCATCAACCTACGCCCTAGGGTGTCCTGGTGCCACGTGCACTGGTGGACACCCTTATGCTTGAACATGGTGTTTGTTATGGACAAACTGTAACTAGCACAGAAGTCCAATAACTGAACACCACTCGGGTTCAGGTCGGGCGAAGATAATTCTCAATTCAATTTTGTAACTGTAACCCTATGGTTGTAACCATATTGTTACAGTTGTGGTTACAGTTTGTAACCCTATGTGAGTGTGAAATAAATTTTGTTAAAAAAATTATAAAATGCGCTAATGCCTTTAAATAAAATCAACTGGTCAAATATATTATTTAAAATGATACATGAATCTGAATAAATTTGGTTATAGCCTATAATGAAGTAATTCTTTAAGATTCAGATCAGAAATAGTTATTTGGGTAAGCTATCCATATATTTACTTTTTACAATATATATCATTGAAAATAACTAATTTTCTTAGTCCAAATTTAATGGAAAAAAAGTTCCTCATTCCATCACACTGTTTAACACAACGAATAATAGTTTGGGGAAAAAAAAACATAATTTGGTTTTACCATCATTTGGCCATAAAGTACGATTTTACAACTTTAAGACAGCTCAGGGTCTACAGCAGAGTTTGGGAGGAGGCTTGAAACATTCAATCCCTGACCATAACTGTCTGCTCATTTTGAAAATTATCACCGCTGGATCCGGACATAGAACATCTGGAGAGCACATCCCAAAGAGCCTTAAAAACCGAGGAAGCGTTGAGAGCTTCCACAGAGTTTCACTTCAGGATGACTTCAGCACATGTTCTGAAGGCTCTGTGCCTGCTGATGCTTTTCTCCACGGTCAATTCTCAGCAGGGCTACATGTATGAAACCGGTGAGGATTGGGTGAATACCTGGCGCCAGGGCTTCAACTTTCAGTGTCCCCATGGTGAGCTCTTAGTGGCAATCAAGAGTTACTTCAGTGAGAAAGAAGGCTCGGACCGCCTGTGGAACTTTGAGTGCCAGAGAACTCCCTACGACTGGGGAGAGCCTAGCGAATGCTGGTGGGACGATATCAACAGAGCCGGGATGGAATGGTATGTATATGTATTTGGATACCAGTGTTCTGTCAAACACAGGTCTATGTACTTCTATATGCATTTTAATGCCATTGTACAAACATTTGTGAGTATATTTTAATAACATTCACCAGTCAGTTTCATTTTTAAAATGTGTTACATATATAAAGTACATGAAACTAAACAGAATTTTTTTGCATGTTTGCAAAAAAACAACAAAAAAACTGTAATAATGCAAAAATGCATCTTTATGAATTAAAATGATTATTTTAGAACTTTGCACAGTTTCAATTGTCCCAGTCAAAACTTATAAATGAATGAAAGACTTTAAGGAACAGTGTATCAGTTAAACAGTTTATTTTAGTTTTTGATTGTAACCATTTTTGATATTCTGCTACACAGATATCTCAAATATGTTGTTTCGTGTATAATAACATTTAGAAAAGACAATGAAATGATGTGGTCAGTTAATATAATTTAAAAATTTAAAATGCGTTTAATGTAGTTTTTTTTCTGCACAGTGTCCAGTTTCAAGTATGAGTAAACATAAATGAATGAAAGATGGATTTATGAGAAATCAGTTTTTGGACAGTTATTTGGAAAAAAAAAATACGCTACACAGATATTCCTTGTGTTGCAAATATTTTTCTGATGACTCCTAAAAAAGTTTTGTTTTGTGTATGCTTGGTTTATACTAAGTAAAGTGGAGAGCTCTCTTGCGTGTATGATTAGACTCAGATGTGAATGTTTACTGAAAGCACTAGCTAATGCTAGCTTTCAGTGTTGAGTGTTTGCTTTGACAACATCGTGATAATTTGTTTGTCAAGGAGGAAACAATGAAAGTTTCTTAAATAGGACTGGAAAGAGACAAGTAGATGTTTGGGCAAATCCAGATTTCATAAGTATCATTTAATCCTTGCCTCGGGTCAGCTGTTCTTAAAAAAACCACGAGCCACAGAAGAGATATAATGGCAACACTTAAGTTTAAGAGCCTTGTTTACTACCAAAATGAAACTTATAACAATCTGCCACAAATATACATGTTTGAATGCACATTTAGGAATCACTTCAGTACTAACATCTTATTTATAAAATCACCAAATTTAAGTTGTGGTACTGTATATGTTGTATTAAATGTTGTAAGTTGGGTTTCCTGTTCCCATCACAGCAAAACATCTTGGACTCATCCAGATCTGGCATGTTATTATTTCTTCTTCTCTTTTCGTGTGGTCCAAACACGCTATCTCAATTATAGAGCCAATATCTGACACCTTTCTGAGATAAACTATACAGACAGACACAAAAGCATTCCAAAGGAATATGAATGTTGAATTGTCATTTAACTTGATCATATAAATGAAACAACAAAATGTCTTCAGCCAGCTTTCATCCAGGAAGCACAAACACTTGAAATGGAGAAATTAGACTAAATGCACATGAGCACAGCAATAATAAAAAGTAATTGCGATGATAAACTGTAATTTTGATGTTCTTGTCACATAAACATGCAGGGCTTGCCATTAAAGCTAGACAGCTGTCACATTGACGTCAAAATAATATTCAGGATATCGCAAACATTACAACATCACGGTCTCTCGTAGTACGTGCAGTTCTGACCGTCGATTACAGCAACGAAAGGCCCGATGCAGTATTCTCTCGTTTACTTCTCGGGTTGAAGTATGACCAATTATTTCACCCTGTTGCTTGAATGGTACTGAACAGTAGCTTTGTTGTTTTGAACAGATTTAGGATTTAACTTTTCCTGAAATAATAAGCTCATTCTGTACTCACTGTGCTGCAATGCCAGGACACTGAATGGATATTTTGATATTTAATAGCTGCTGCCTTGATTTAAAAACATAAAGCTCAAACAGAAGGTAAACACAAACAACAGCATGTTGTGCAGTAGTTTAAACATTATAGTGACTACTTTCCTTGTCACACACCTTTGACATGCTGCTTTGGTACAATAACTATTAAGAAAAGATATTTTTGTCTAAAGCTGACTCATATGTTTGACAATGCCAATAGTCTTTCCTGCATCTAGACTCTGGTTGGCCAAAGGAACGTGAATGTTTGCCCAGAAAAATGATTCAGAGCCCTCTCATGTTTCCCCCCTCTAATACAATAAGCATAATGTCTTGATGTGAGATGGTTGCTTTATTTCTTTCTCTATTTTGTTCTAATTATGTGATGTATGGTGTAACACCATAAATTTCACAGTACCTAACTTCATATCATGGCTAGAAAGACCCTTACTACTTACAATCCATGTGATTCTCATAACAAAGGTGACCTTATTTTACCAGTTCTCCAGCTTGTTATAAAAGTGTGGTTACTGCGATCAGTCTCTGAGGGCATCTGGGGGAAACAGTGCCAAGGGCCATTCAGTGTTCCAAGTTCTCTCTCCCTACTCCAAAAGCAATGGGATAATTTTTTCCAGTAGGTTAATTAATCAGTATTTTTCCCTGATCCACCTTGTGAGATTTCCTTAGAGCCAGTGCCAGTGACCTCAGCTCCCTCAGCAGTGTGTCTGCTGCTCACTGCTAGCATTTTGTGAGGGAATACTGTCTGCCAGTCTTACTGCATGCTGGGAATTTACAATCAAGAAATCGTATTAGGCAGTCTTATGCTCTTTAGATAAATTTCACAAGTTTTGGACTGCTAGCCATGCCCATAATATATTAGTGATAAAGATAAAATATGTTTACATGCATTTACTTTCAATAAGCTTTAGTTAGGCTACCTATATTTATTGATATCTTTTGGCTATTTTAAATATAGTTTACAGTTAAAAATATATAAATATATTTATGTTGCCCAAAATATATATAAAAAAGTCCATTTTGACAATATATATACAGTATATACAGTATATATGCTGCACAGTTTACAAAATATAAATTAATTAAATAAAATATTTATTTTTGCTATATACAAAGTTTTAGCAGGCATTACCCTGTAACTTAGACATTTGTCTGAATGGAGAATCAGTTGTTTACATTACATCATTTGGATATACTGTATCCCTCTAAATCAAGGACTGCCCTTTAAGAGTATCTTCTTTCCTTTCTCCCTCTTCACATCTGATTTGCACTAAGGCGTAGATGACATTCTACAGGGAGAATGCTCTGGCCTACTTCTTATTGGTGGAACGGTTGCCCATTGCGTTAGTGTTGCTATGACAAAAGTCTGGCACTGCTGGTGGCTGGGAAACAGTGCAGAGCTCATGATTGTGTCCCTGTTGTGATGACAACAGTTTTTATGGACCACAAACAAGTAGTATTTACAAACCTGTATTTTCAACCTTAAAATCTTGCTGTCTCTTCAGGGGTGACGTTTGCTGAGTTAACAAACTTGAACGAAAATCAACTTAAGTCTTCTAATTATTGATTGGTTAAATCAATTTAGAATTGCTTGTAATTATATGTAAAAACTCCTTTAGCTCACTCACTAGCCATGACTGGTAATCATCTACTGTAACAAACAAAAATGTGCTATTCAATTTGCTATTCATATAGTCAATACTCAAAGGGTATCATACATGTGGAAGTTTAATTACAAAGGTTAAAAGTGCTATAGCAATATGCACCGCATTCTCATCCTTTAGCGTCATATGACAAAACGGCCAAATACTACGCACATGGCACCCGTAATCGTTAATATAACACACGCTGTGATGGGTTGGTTTAGGTGTGGGGTAGGGTAGGGTAGTCTCATATTACGCTAAAGGATTTATGACGCCTTGGGTTCGCGTGTTATATTAACGATAAAGGGTGCCATGTGCGTAGTATTTCGCCGTTTTGTCATAAAGCGTCACATATGACGCTAAAGGATGAGAACGGGCTGCAATATGATGGCTGATGCATGAAAAGTTATAAAATGGTTAGTTACGGTCCTTGAATAAGATTAGACGAGAGTATTACGGCACGCGGAGAAATAGAGAAGGCAAGAGCAGGTATAATCACGTATAATCAGGTATATAATCACGGGGCGGCAGTGGCTCAGTGGTTCATGTGGGTTGTCTACAAACCGTAAGGTTGATGGTTCAATCCTCGGTTCCACCTGACCAAGTGTCGAGGTGTCCATGAGCAAGACACCTAACCCCAGCTGCTCCCGACAAGCAGGCTGGCGCTTTACATGGCTGACACCGCCGTTGGTGTATGAATGGGTGAATGTGAGACAAATGTAAAGCGCTTTGGTGGCCATTAGCCCTATGAAAGGGCTATATAAATGCAGTCCATTTACCATTTACCATTTTATTAAAAAATCAACAATCCAGGTCAGGTCCACACCAAGAATGACAAACACAGGGACGGGCAAGTGACGTCGATGGAACCCAGACTGAAGGTGATGAGTGATGACGAGACGAATCCAGATCCAGACAATGAAGATGATGAAACAGGTGGGAAAAGACAACAAACAATCCAAGACGGAAACAGAGACCACAAGCGAAGACCAGACAGGAACAACACCGGAACTATAACAACGATCTGACATAGAAAAGATGCAAACAGTGAGTATATAGGCACTGCTGATAAGATGCAGCTGGCGCTGTGGATGATGTGCAGCTGGTGCCACTGATCAGCGGTACTGATCAGTGACTACGCCCACACACACACACAATAACAATGAAACGAGATAAGAAGGACACTGTAGATTCATGAACCGTGACAGTACGCTCCCTCCTAGGAATGCCTCCTGGCGTTACCAGACGTCCTCACCAGTCGACTGTAATCATCGATAAGGGAGTGGTCCAGGATGTCCCTAGCAGGTACCCTAACTTCTCTTCTCTGGACCGTAACCCTCCCAGTCCACCAGATACTGGTATCCACATTCCCCCCACCTAGAGTCCAGAATGTGATTAACCGAATATGTAGGTTCCCTATCCACGAGTCGCAGCAGGGAAGGAACCGGGGTATGCGGATTAAAGTGAGAATGAAGCACTGGTTTTAATTTAGACACATGAAAGGCGGGATGAATTATCCTGTACACAGGAGGAAGTTTCAGTCGTACTAATGACCTTGGAGACAGTAAGTGGGATGATAAATTTAGAAGCTAATTTATTAGAAACGGAGTGGAGTGGAATGTTCTTGGTTGAAAGCCACACTTTTTTGACCAACAACATATACTGTATGGGAGGCCTTGACCGTTGGCGATTGGCCTTAGCCTTGGTGCACACCCCCACCTGGAGCAGAGTCTCTTGGGCTCTGGTCCAAGTGCGGTGGCACCTCTGGACGAAGGCGCAAGTGGAGGGGACCGCGACTTCAGATTCCAGACTAGGAAAATTTGGTGGCTGGTAACCTAAACTACCCTCAAACGGAGATGGATGGCCCGTGGATGACACTGGTAGTGAGTTATGAGCGTACTCAACCATTGAGATCTGCTGACTCCACGAGGAAGGATTCTTTGATACCAAACATCGCAACGTTCTTTCCACATCCTGGTTGGCTCTCTCGGTTTGGCCATTGCTCTGGGGATGAAACACAGAGGATAGACTGACAGTCGCTCCCAGTAATTAAAAAAAATTCTCGCCAAAATTCTCCTGTCGGAGACCACATCAATGAGCCCCCTTTGAGAACTGGTCCACTATGGTCAAAACGACCATCTTGCCCTGGGAAGGTAGGTAGGCGGTGATAAAATTTAGCGCAATGTGGTACCAGGGTCTCGAAGGGACAGACAGCGGTTGGAGTAACCCATCTGGAGGTTGATTGGGAGTCTTAACAGTGGCACAAACTGAGCAAGCCAAGACAAAAGTGCGAATGTCGCGAGCCATTAATGGCCACCAGAATCGTTGCTTAATCAAAAAACTGGTGTGATTAACCCCTGGATGACAAGACACGTTAGAACAAAGCCCCCATCGAATAATGTCTGACCGCAATCCCTCCAGCACAAATAATCGATTTGGTGGGCTACTGGGCAGAGGCGTTACCCCTTCTTAAGGTCGTCTTGACCTTCGACTCGATCTCCCATGTGTAGAGATGAATAGGTTCTCTGGTAAAATGCACTCGGGAGTGGACGGGCGTTTGGAATGGTCAAAAACTGAGATAAAGATTTAGGTTTGATGTTTTTGGAACACGGGAAGAACGACTGAGAAAAATCAAAACTACTGAAAAAAAGAGCCCATCGAGCCTGCCTGGAGTTGAGTCTTTTGGCAGTGCTGATGTATTCTAAATTCTTGTGATCGGTCCAGACGATAAAATGTATATCAAGATGGGAGACAAAAAGAAGCGACTTTTCAGATTGGTGAATAGTAGTTTTGGGGGAGGTCAAGGTAGTCAGAGGAGCAGCTAGTTGGCGGAAATTGCTAATGAAACGCCAGTAGAAGTTGGCAAACCCCAGAAACCTCTGTAGGGCTTTATGGGAATCTAGACTTGGCCACTCTACCATAGCCTTAACCTTATCAGGATCCATATGCACTCCCTAATTTGAGGCGATATATCCTAGAAACAGACTGTGCATGAAAATCGCATGTCTCCGCCTTGACAAAAGTCCATGTGTTCCTGGAGAGAAGATGAAAAAAGTCAATATGTCATCCAGGTATACATGTAACTGATCTACCATATCTCTCAGCACGTCGTTGATGAGTGCCTGGAAAACCGCTGGGGAGTTGGACAGCCCAAACTGCATAACCAAATATTCAAAGTGCCCCCTGGGGGTGTTAAAAGTGGTTTTCCATTCATCCCCCTCCCTAATGCGAACCAAATCATAGGCATTACGAAAATCCAGTTTTGTGCAGACTGATGTTTCCTGTAACCCCTCGAAGGCGGCAGAAATCAACAGCAAACGATAAATATTCTTTACTGCGATGTTGTTCAACCCCCGGTAATCAATGCATGGTCGTAGAGAACCATCCTTCTTGCCCACAAAAAAGAACCCCACCCCCGCAGGTGAAGAGGAAGTCTGGATGAATTTGGAAGCTAGAAAATCAGAAATTTATTTCTCCATAGCCTCCCTTTCTGGTACAGAAAGCGAATAAAGTTTGCCCTTAGGCATAGACTTACCTGCCAGTAAATCTATAGCGCAGTTGTAGGGAAGGTGCGGAGGGAGAGAAGCAGCGCGGGACTTACTGAACACTTCCTTCAGGTCCAGGTATTCAACCGGCACGTTAAGTAAATCAACTGTCTCCTCCTGAAACACAGAAACAAGAACAGACAGTAAGAAAAGACTTATAACACTGAGTGCTCCACTCGGTGATGGAGTGTTGGCGCCAGTCTACTCTGGGATTATGTAAAGTGAGCCAGGAATGACCAAGGACTACGGGTGCCAAAAGGTGAGTCCAAGAGAAGAAATGACAAAGTTTCAGAATGATTGCCTGATGTGGTGAATGTCATGGGTTTGAACATGGGTGTAGGAAAAGGCCCCCTCCCCACAGTAAAGGCAGAGTCTGAAGGATCTCCACCTCTCCTGCTCCTCCCAGGAAAGCCGAGCTCTACCCATCTGCATGGGCTCGTGACCGAATACAGGGCTGACCGTGTCCCTGGCTGCCGCTGGTTTTGGGATCCCCTGTGCCTCCTGGAAAAAAGACTGGAAGAACACAATGTTCTATCCTGGCAAGACGTGCGTGCATGGAATAGTTTGAAACTGATCGATCCCCATGGTGCAAATTGGCAACAACTCTGGCCGCCTCACATCCCGCCATCGACCAATCCAATACTCGCTTAATTTCTTCAAACTAACACAAGTTCAACGTTTTTCATTCATGACTTCATGGATAAACAATTGACTAAAACATTAACTAAGATGGGCACATCATCATGAATTATGATTTATTACGTATGAGTATGATGTTTTCTTTGTTAACAGTTATGCCACCATTAATATCACATTGTTCATCAGTGTTTCAAAGGACCTAATCACCAATTTAGTTGAGGGGCCACACACATGAATTGAATACTCGCTTAATTTCTTCGGCGAGTGCCTGGTTCTCCCACACCCCTTTGTTCGCGATGCATTCCTCCTGCGAATCTATTCGACTGATGCAGCGTGGGATGAAATCATTGAGACCTGCTGCATCCATACTGACCAGATCATTCTGTCGAAATAGAGAGAAGGCAAGAGCAGGTATAATCCCGTTTATTAAATAATAAACAATCCAGGTCAGGTCCACACCAAGAATGACAAACACAGGGACAGACAAGTGACGCAGGGACTTTGATGGATGTGATGATGAGACGAATCCAGATCCAGAGAATGCAGATGATGAAAAAACGACGAACAATCCAACAAACAACAGGAACAACACCGGAACATATCACAACAATCCGACAAAGACGCAAACATTGAGTATATATGTAACCCCTCACACCCGGGTCCAACTCGACCCGCTCCGAGCGGGCCTCGAACCCGGGTCTCCGGCGTGAGAGTCGGGCGCGCTAACAAGGAGGCTAAAGACTGCAGCCTCTAGCATCTGTCGCTAGAGCGCCTATTGAGATCGGGGAGTGAGGTTTACTCGCACAGCAACTACTAGCTGGCCTCCGTTACACTCACCCCCCTAAACCTCACTCTCATCCGGGTCACGGCACCAATGTAACCCCTCACACCCGGGTCCAACTCGACCCGCTCCGAGCGGGCCTCGAACCCGGGTCTCCGACGTGAGAGTCGGGCGCGCTAACAAGGAGGCTAAAGACTGCAAAAACAGCAACTACTAGCTGGCCTCCGTTACATATAGGCACTGCTGATCAGATGCAGATGATGTGCAGCTGGCGCCACTGATCATAGTGATCAGTGACCACGCACAGAACACACAATAACAATGACACGAGATAAGAAGGACACAGTAGATTCACGAACAATTAATAAGTGCTGATATAGGACCCCGATAGACTGGGGCTACGTTCAAAATCACATACTCTCTTGAGTAGTATGTAATATGGTAATATAGTATAAAACAGTATGTATGTAAGAAATCCCACTTTTGCATTTGAGCTTGCTGTTTAATAATCATTTCAAATCCAGTAGTAATGAAAATATTCATCTTAAACTGTCACTGAAACGCATGTTTAAACCTTAATTAAACAATTTAATAATCAATTAAAAAGGAATTTTTACCTGGTATATTATGCTGTAGCCACATTGGACCAGTGAGTTGGAAAATCGATGGATGGGTGATTCAGCTGAGTGACAATCAACAATGCTGATTCTTTCTGGAATGAAACAAGTGAATTGTTTCTATGAATGAGTCATTAAGTCATTCACTCTAACGATTTGATGCAATGTATGAGGAGTGTGTTGATCACTAATGGGATTTTTCATTAATTTCATTTCATTAATTTCAAGATATGGTAAATTCTAAAGATTCATTTTAAGATCCTCATTTAAAAACCCTGCAATGGCAAAATGGAACAAATGGAGACAAAAGGCATAACTACATGCATGTTTATCAGGCACATGTTGCTCTTGCTGTTTTAGTCAGCCCTTTGGTATAAACAGGAAGATGCACACAATACAAGGTCAATATAACAGCAGGCACACCTCACAAGACCACATGCCACATGTGAGACAGTTTATTTGAATCCACGGAATACACAAGTATTCCAAAGATTTATTTTAAAAGGATCAAAAATGTATATTGTTCTGCCTTTTCTCTTTATACACAGTAAAAGCCATATTTGTATTGTCTACAGGTCCTCAGTTTGCACTAACAATGGGCTTGTTGCTGGCATTCAAAGTCAGTACTTTGAAGCAGTTCTGGATCGAGAATGGCAGTTCTACTGCTGTCGATATGCCCGCAGATGCCCGTATTCCTGCTGGTGAGTGATCTAATTCAAATGGTGATCTGATCATATAAGTAAGGTGAATGTGATTTCACCAAATACAGCATGTTCCTGGATCAAATCCCTGTTGGAACAACTTTCTAGTCAACCAATCAGATTTCTTTTTTTTACAGTTTGTGTCAAGTTTAGGCTTACAACCAGATTGTTCTACATCAGTGTTATTCACCAATCATTTCCCTCTGGTTGTAGGGATAAGTTATGGGTATGGTTAGGTTTAGGGGTAGGGATAAGATGCTGTAACACAGTCTCATCCCAAGAAGTCATATAACTGACGTCTTGGGACGTCTTTTGACCATACGTCAACATCTGCCTTTTTAGGGTACCCATAAACGTCGGTTACATGACGATCCCGGGCCGTCATACAACTGACGCTTTACCTTTAATGTCGGTTAGGTTTAGGGGTAGGTTTAGGGGTATAGGTTTAGGTCTGGGGTAGGGTTAGGATTCGATAACGTCATCTAACCGACGTTTAAGGGGGCCCTTTAAGGCGGATGTTGACGTATGGTCACAAGACGTCCCAAGACGTCAGTTATTTGACGTCCAAGACTCAATTTTCAGACAGATTGTTCCAGGATCAACAAAATATGTTGATCCAGAACATGCTTTACAGAACAGGCAAAATCATGATTGCTAAAATAACTCTACACGTACACACCTTAGTTTATTCCAACGCATTCTCATCCTTTAACGTCATATAGAACGCTATATGACAAAACGGCGCTATACTACGCACATTGATATTAAGATTATGTGTTCTTTGGTAATTAGTCTAAATTGTCTTTTATAACCTTCCTTTTAATTGCATTTTCATGGTTTATGCACAGGAAGACGTCTGATGTTCCAGAGTACCACAGAGAAGAGGGAGAGATGGTAATTCCCAGTTACGGCTACTTCATAAGGGGGGCTCAAACTACTTTCAGTGGTGTACTGAGGTTTGTGAACACATGATTGTATTTTGCACTTGGAGCTGGAGGTTTTGTCTGTAATGCCTTTATGTCAAAAAAACATCCATTTTATACCAGATGAATGCATCATTTATTGGTTGTTAATGCATTTTATTTTTTCCAATGCTTTGCAGGGATCGGCAGTGGAAGTACATCTTGTGCCGAATGACAGACTTTGATTGTCAGTTTGAAAACTTCTAAACTGCATTTATCGCTTATTGTTCTTATCGACACATGACCACATGAACGTCACCACAAGAGCATTTAATAGCACTCACAGAAAACATATGACATTTTTTTATTAGTTTACCAGTTTTCAAATTATTGTTTTAATCTGTCTGTAAGTGAGCATGGACTGCCATTTCCTCATATTTTGCAGTTATTTCTGTTTACAAATAATTTGTAATCATTTTAAAATATAAAATATCCAGCAAAAAGGAACGAAAACATTTTTATATTGTTGTGTTTTATGAATACGCTGCATACATACATACATTTATGCAACCATATTATACAAACTGCATGAAGGTAACAGTTTTAACGCTTTGAGTATATCGATCAACACTATTATATAGCAGTGTGACCATTTACATCACCTTACCACACTAAAAACACCTTTGCTGACTATTAAAAATGTTGCTATAAAATTTGCAATGTATTTTTGAATGGTTGTTGAATGGTTGACTATTTTGGTAAACTTTTAAATCAAGGTCTCAACCACTCAGATGAAGCCTATAACATACTGAATTTTTTGAAAACAAAAAACAAAAAACAAAAAAACAAATAAAGCACAGGTTTCTCCCATGGTCTGCTTGTTTTTTTTCCCCCTGCATTCTTGTGCAACTCTCATGACGTCTGTTTTCTGCTTTCCTTGAACAAATTACTTAATTCTCTAGCGGATGTGGCCAGATTACATTGGATCTCTGTGTATAAATGTGCACAGATGCATTTGTAGGTGTTTATAAACAGCCTACTTAATTCATCATCTGTCTCTTATTGAGCAAAGAGAGTATTTGAGAATTTCCTGCAGTAATCCCTACAGAATGATGTTTTTTGCATTTCTTTGTGTATATACAGTATAATGTTCCAAAGATCAAATCTGTATTTTTGGTACTTTTAAAAAAACAATCTTACTGAGCACATTCTTTGGAATGGTAATGCGTATAATATTTCAACACATTCTCACTCCTAAGGCGTCACCAAACTGACGCCTTGGGAAGCATTTGACCATGCTTCAATATCTGACGCTTTAGGCGCCCTTTAGCGTCAGTTAGATGACGCCCTAGGATCGCGTGTACCCTACCCCCACCCCATACCTAAACCTAACCGCGTCCTCTTTAGCGTCAGTTAGATGACGCCGTAGGATCGCGTCATGTAAGTGACGCTAAAGGGCGCCTAAAACGTCAAATATTGAAGCATGGTCAAAGGTGACGCCTTGGGGTGAGAATGTGTTGAAATATTAATATTTTCGAAGCAGACATCACTAAAAATAACAATAGCGTAGTTCATTAATTGAGTCAGATGTTAATTCAGTTCATTCAAGGATTTGTTTGACTGATTCAAGCAGACAATTCGTCTTTTTGAACTATTCATAAAAGAACCAACTCATAAGAGTCATTCGTTCAGGAATCGGACTACTCTTGTCCAGCTATGTTTTTGATTCACTAAAAAACACCAGCTCATAAGAATAATTTGTTCATGAATCGGAGAACACTGACCACACTGCATGTGTTTTGCGTGGAGCCCGCAAGGTCATCTCAGTAAATTTGCTACCATTTTGGCACAGTACGCAATTGCATCACATCCAATAAATATGGCACTCACATTCACAGCTAAAGACAAATATCATGTGTCTTTTACTGAAGATCCCTCGCTGCTTAAAGGAGGTCCAGGTAACACTGTGTGTTTGTGATGTGTCTTTGTGCTTGGCCTGGGTGTGTCTTTCTTAATGAGTGAGAAAATGAATGTTGGATAAGCGTGTTGGGGATTGAGATTGTACCCGAGACAATTTCGATTTCTGGGTATTTTAAACTATATAGTAATCTTGACAAACTACATATCATTTGAAAGCTTTCAGACTCTAAATTTCATATTTAGTAACTGATTTTCAAAAGAAATGCTGGAGCAATAGATACATAGCATGATTGTCCATTTGTAGTTTTATTTTTGTTTATGTGGGTTTTAGAGGTTAAATTTATATAAAACATTAACATTACTGCCAAAACTACTTCTAAATAGAATGCCAACTTCATAAATGTTTAGAAAATTATATTTGGAAATGGAAGAGTACTTATATGGTCACCAATGGTGTCTGGAAAAGTTTGGTACTAAAAAAATGTTTACTGAAAGCTCATTTATTGAGATATCAACCTAAAATTCGACCCAGAACTTGTTCAAATGCTTTGATAGCCTTGAAGTTTTAGAGTTGAACATGTTTTATAAAATATATATTTTACAAAAGGAAAAATCCCAAGAAATGTTATTATTTTGGGTCTGTACAGTTGCCTTGGAACATTAAAATATATGGGTGGAATTGACCCATGAACATTCAACGCATTCTCATCCTTTAACGTCATATAGAACGCTATATGCAAAAACGGCGCTATACTACGCACATGTCACCCTTTATCGTTAATATAACACGCGCTGTGAGGGCTAAGTTTAGGTGTGGGGTAGGGTGTGCGTGTCATATTCACGCTAAAGGATTTATAACGTCTTGGGTTCGCGTGTTATATTAACGATAAAGGGTGCCATGTGCGTAGTATAGCGCCGTTTTTGCATATAGCGTTCTATATGACGTTAAAGGATGAGAACGGGCTGGAACATTACAAGCATAATAGTAATTATGTGTGTAGTGTGTACATGTCAAAAAACAAATCAGTGTGTTGAAACTTTGCATGCATGTACACACATATATGCATACTGTATATACTGTATACAATTAATAGGTAACTTTTATTGTCATTTAAGTGAAATTACTGAACATAAATATACAAGCTTATAAGAATATCATTCTAGAATATTCTAGAAGAGGAAGAAGGATGAGTACAACCCCAAGAACACCATCCCAACTGTGAGGGGGGCAGGGCAGAGACAAGACGACTGCACCGTATTGTGGTGAGGATGGATGGCCAAGATCTCGCGATAGATGATCCCAATAACCTCCTTCCCTCAGTAAGAGCATTGATAATGGGTCGTGGTTGGGTCTTCCAGCATGACAACGACCCGAAACACACAGCCAAGGCAACTATGGAGTGGCTCTGTAAGAAGCATCTCAAGGTCCTGGAGTGGCCTAGCCAGTCACCAGACCTGAAGCCAATAGAAAATCTTTGGAGTGAGCTGATAGTCCGTATTGCCCAGCGACAGCCCCGAAACCTGAAGAATCTGGAGAGGGTCTGGAGGAGTGGGCCAAAATCCCTGCTGCAGTGTGTGCAAACCTGGTCAAGAACTACTGGAAATATACGATCTCTGTAACTGCAAATAAAGGTTTCTTTACCAAATATTAAGGTCTGCTTTTCTGATGTATTAAATACTTATGTCATGTAATACAATGCTAATTAAGTACTCAAAAAACATACTATGTGATTTTCTAGATTTTTTTTAGATCCCGTCATTCACAGTTGAAGATAGGCTACCTATGATACAAATTACAGACTTCTACATGCTTTGTAAGTTGGAAAACCTGCAAAATCTACAGTGTATCAATTACTTGTTCTCCCCACTGTATTTCTCAGCCATTTTGGTTGAGCACTTGCAGGGTTAAGGAGAGGGTCACTGAGCCAGATTCTGTGCAGCAGTCTTTCTACTCCCCTCTACTGTAGACGTGGTTGGGTGTAAGCCAGTGGCTCTCAACACTGTTTATTTATGGCAGCTGCCGACTTCAGGCATGGAGCCAAGCATCACAAAATGACATGGCTGTACCCAAGTCAAGCCTTCTCTTTGGGGACAGCCGACACTGTCTGTGACTTACTGTGCACTTCTACAGGACCAGACCAATGCAGAGGGTTCAGCAGGTCAGGCCACACTTTCATTCAGGCTGCTTTGCTGTTTTCGCTCGGCCTCTTCCTGAGTTTTAATTACACAGGGTTACATGCATGCATTATCAATAGCCAAATTCTGCTTGAATGGCAATGTTGTAATTATGGTTGTTTGCAGGAACGAGAATAAAACTTTGTTAGAGTGGTGATGGGTTTTGGAACTTACGCTCAGCTGTAATTATGGGATGAATTCGATGAGACGCCAGATTTAAGAGCAGGCGAAAATAAACAGACGCTAAATCCGATGAAAGCTTTGAGAAAAAAGGAGACTGAGGGTTTACTTTTAAGACAAACAGATTTAGCCAATAGGATGTTCCAGAAGAGGTTGACATTTAGATTGATTTGCATTTGTGTACTGTAAATTACATGTTTAAAATGGATTTAAAAAAGACAATGAAAGGAACTCTCTGTCTTTCTTTTTTTTAGGTCATAAACTTCATAATAACTTCATAATGCGATAAGCAAGGCCAGTTGCAGTAAATGCGCTTTATTAGAATCAGATGTAATACATTCAAAGGTTGTTGATGAAGAAGGAGAGTAGATCACAGTAACATTAAGCTATGAACAACTCCTCTAATAATAATCTTTCCTTGCCGATCTCTTAAAAGAAGAAAAGGATTGCATGCGAAGCATGCGGGTCATACTCAGACGAGACAAGACAATAGGGGTGATTTGAGGATGAGTTTATATACAGTCCTTGATTGAAGTAGTGATGCAGGACATTACTCTGGCGAGCGTGACAATAATATCATCCAAAAAATGCAAACAAAACATGAAGCCACATAGGGGAGCCAATGGTTGATTGGAGCTATTTTTTGGTTAAATATCTCTGATAAAAAAAAAAAAAACTAGAAAATGAAATAAAAAGAAGAAAAGAAAAGATACATTTAGTGTCTCAAAATATTTCTTAAATTAATTCATGTAAAATTATATGTAGTTGTGCCAATTATACACCAATACAATCAATATAAAATAAAATGTAACAGTAATATTAACAAACATTTAACATTTTGCAAAAGAATTGTTAGCATTGGAGCAATAGCTGAATTAACAATAAACAACAACAACAAAAACACAATTATTTAGTCATTGTTGGTTTATAAAACATTAACCAATAATTTAAAAAAAATGAACACTAAAAATGTCTTTGTATTTAAATAGAGCACAGCCCCTGGTCTGCATACATGTGAAGATGTTTGTAATTTTTACGGAAGACTGTAAAAATGCTACTGTAACTGTACAGTAAGTTAATATTCAATATTCAGCGAAAAAATAGTACATGTTTTCATTATATGTATCACATTATTGAACATTAAACGTCACATTATATGTAATTGTATTGTAAAATACATCATATGTGGTGAAATCTATGAATGACCATATCATTTATGGCGAAAAACAGTAAAAAGACATTTCCAGACTGAGCAACACATAACAATTTTCCGTAAATCATGGCTATTACTTATATATAGATGTTGCACAGGGACATAAACAAAATTAGGTTAACGTGCATGTACATTATACTGATAACAGATAAGAAACAAAACAATTTAAATAAAATATATATCATTAAATGAAGTAATAGCCATGCTTTACGGACAATTATCATGTGTCTTTATGTTTTACCTCTTGGTTGTTATCTGTAAATTTTGGCAGTTCTGTAGATTTTGGCAGTTGAAGTAGATAGAAATATTCTGTTTGTGTGTAATATTTCTGTTCGATGTAAGAAACACAACTGCGGGTTTGGGCCATCACACGAGGGTGAGCAAACAATAACAGAATGTGAACTATCCCTTTACAGTAACCATGTACAGTATGCATTAACCTCATCAGCTGAGCACAGGTTGATCTTGATTCTTTTCTCTCTGTTGTTCAGCCGGACAAAATGAAGATCTAAATGGCTGAAAAGAAAACAGGACCTTTCCAAGCTCCTACTGTGGTATAGGTCAGTGTAAATACCACCGTACCATTCTTTCTGCAGGAGTATATATCAACTTTCAACTCTAAGGGTCTAGGTTACCTCTTAAAAATACTACACCCCTAACCACTTCAATGTGTGAACACTTGCATAAACACACATACTCCTGAAGTGTAGCGGCTTCCATTCCAAATTTTTGCCAATGACCTCTGTCAGGACAATGATAATATTTCACTAATAAATTAAAATAAAAACAAAACAGATATAGCATTGTTGAGATCTGCTGGGCCCTGAGAATCGACCTTCGTGACCTCTTTGGTAACCTCTGTGTTTAAAAGTGGGAGAAAGCTGGATGCCTGAGTCTGTTGTGTTAACAGTTATAGAGCAGATTTAAGCTCAACCAGGAAACCTGACTCTGCTGACCTTACATACTCCACAACCTGCTTGTTCCCTCCTTTTTCCTCCATTCTGTACACCCTCCTTCCTCCCTCACCTCCTTACTCCATTGTTCTTTGTGTCCAGTCACAAGACACATCAGTAGTACAGGAAAGGTGAAAGCCAGAATCCTGCCTAATAATGTTTCATTTCCAAGCTGTCATCGAGTTTTCATTGCCTTACGCTCATACCTGTACAACAACGCAAGGTACATGCTGAGTACACAAGAAAACGCCACACACCAGACTGCGACCTCCACGCTTCAAGGTCAAATTTCAAATGGACACAAGAAACAATGTTTCTGATCTTTGCTCTTGTCATTTCTCCTCCTACACTGTGCTAATTCTTCCTTTAAATGTTCATTTTTGATCATATAAGTGAGCTGAGACCTTGACAAAGTTCACTGACTTTAAGAAATGTTCTGTAATTCAAGGAGCGTGTTCACGAGAGTAGGCAGGACTACAGGTAACTGAACCTTTTCTGAGAAATCTGTCCACAATTCTTTTCATAATTACTATAGGAGCACGTGGACACACTGGGAGTCTCCAGGAATTGCTTTCTCCTTGAATGCAAGGTTATTTTCTGTGAACGGCATATTTGAATTTTATTGCAGCCTATTTACAATGTTTTAAAGGGAACAGAACGCGTAAAGTATGTTGATTTCGGTCCTTTGATGGAGCTTTGCATATCAATGGGTTGTTTCCAAATGAGTGGTTTGTGAATGTTTCATTCCCCATCGCATCTATCCAAGCAATGTCAACATTGGGTCACGTCTATTGTGGTCCTTCGGGAAGCAGCCTGCTGTTGCATTCTGGGAAACAGAGAGGCCCCTAGTTATAAGATGAACCAGTGCCGCCTGTTTGCTTCAGTGTGATTTGAGAGTCATCTGACAAAGGGCTTATTATTAGGGGCTACATTGTGTAGTAGTGACTGCATGGCTGCTAGTTTGAAGTGCATGAATCACAGTTTTACAGCCTGTGATATAACCAAATGAGATGCTGTGACTAAACAAATCCTCATTACCCCACTTTAGGTATTGTGTTGTCACTAAAGAAAAACAGTTATAATCTCCTGATTTATTTATGCTGTCAGGTAAGAATTTAAACCGCATTTTAATACAATATATATTTTTAATCAGCGTGAATGTAACATTCTATGAATATTCTATTTTAAAATTTAGTTATACTGTCTGCGAAAAATAGGAAGCGTTTTATTATCCAAAGACAGCAAAATTATATAAATGGCTTTTATGTCAACATTGTACTAAAGCCAATACAAATAATTAAATTATTTGTGGGAAAAATTAACACTATATTGAGTGTTTTTTTTCCCTACAGAATCATACCCATTAATGTAAATATTAAAGACATCCATTCAAATGCCTTTTTCTCACCAAGGCTGCATTTATTTGATCCAAAATATAGTAAAAACAGTAATATTGTGACATTTTATTACACTTTAAAATATCAGTTTTCTATTTTAATATATTGGAAGTGGTCATTTATTCCTCTGATGGCAAAGGTTGAATTTTCAGCATCATTACTCCAGTCATCAGTGATACTTTAGAAATCATTAAAATGTTAAAAACGCTGCGTGCTGTTTAATATTTCTAAAAAAAAAAAAAAAAAAAACATGATACATTTTTTTTCTATATTGTTTGATGAATAGAAATAACAGCATTTATTTTGAGCATAAATCTTTTCAGTTTTTTTTCAATGCAACCTTGCACCCCAAACTTTTGAACGGTTGTGTTTTATCAGTGTACTGATTTTCATAATACAATCATTGGGCAAAATGATCACATTAATGATGCAAAGCTCCATATAGATACATCATCCAACTTTTTGATTAATGTTTAACCACAAAACTGTGGTTGATTTCTCAGTTCTTATTTCTTCCTCTGGATCCTATTGGGATCCGCAGACTCCAGTTTGAAAACACTTGTGTTAGGTGTGAGAGCCGGTGAAGTCAATGGAAACAGTGGAACTACTTGCTGTAGATCGTGCAACACTTTATTAAAACTTCACTCTCAAGGCATGACTGGCTTGCGTAATGGAGTAGGGGGGTGTGGGGGAATTTCAGGGTGTTACTAATCCTATGCTTTGGCTATGAGCCCATGGAAAGACAGCATCTCCATTTTCCCAGCATGTTCTTAAACTAAACTCATCCCTCCATGTTTTCCAAAGCAACATGAAATTTTTCTGACCAAACAACCAATCAAGTCCATGTATCCATATTAAATCTGGAAATTTTAGGTTACACATGAGCAGTTCATATTCCAATATAAAACTGACTTTTAAAGCAAAGCTCAAAAATGATTTGTGTTAATGATTAGGTTTTAATTAGTTTGTATAGGTTGAATATGCTTTCGGGAGGTCTTGCTGGTGTTTCAAGGTCACTTACAGGCTCGTAAACTCCTTGTGCCTCTGGGATTTTTCCAGCAGTAGAATAAAGAAAGTCACCTTGTAGCATGCATCGTCCTCTCCTGGACACAGTTTGAATAGGGCACTTGGACATTATGTTCTCTTTAATGCTCAAAACTGCTTCGTGTGACCTTTTGTAGCCTTATGTAACCCTTTAAACACAGGGTAGCCTGAGAGAGACATATGATGTTAATGTCTTCTATCAACATGAATGCTGCATGTGCAAAAACTTTTAGATCATTTGACATATCCGGACAGCTGTATAGTTTAAAAAGTCTACCTTTTATAAGATGGGTCCACATTATCAGGAACTTCTGGTGAACATCAGGGTGATCTGTGTTGATTCAAGACCCCAGTTCAGTCTGTACTTCCTCTGAAGCAGTTAAAACAGTTTGTCTTCCTGTTTGACCTCACAGAACTCCCATATCCTCTTACTTCCCCACAGGAAAACAGAAACCAAATTATCATCTATTGTGCCTTGAATTAAAGGAACTTTCCTAATTCAGTTTAAAAGTTAAAGTCAATTTACAGTGTTTGTGGCATAAGTCTGACTATACCGCGGGAAAAAAAAAAAAAAAAAAAGAAGAGAGATATCTTGGCAGATGCACTCGCTCTTTCACAGGTGACCCCTGATGGAAAACTATGTCTGCTCAGTCAGACATACCCAGTATAATAGAATCAAGTGTGACAAATGTGATCTCTTTAGCTGCAATGGGAAATAATGGAGATTTTAGCTAAGGTATTCTGCTTTTCTGATTTTTCTCCTGTAAAACCATGTGCCAATAATCTCACATGAATAGTTTCTTTGGCGTCTTTTTTTATTTCTAGATAATTTTAGAAATATTGGAGACAAAGTTGGAACCTAAAGGGTTTGTTCACGAAGAAGGACATTTCTGTCAGTAATTATTCACTCTCAAGTCGTTTCAAAGATGACCTTCATTCATCTTTGGAACACAAATTAAGATATTTTGATGAAATCCGAGATCTTTCTGACCCCCTAGACAGCAATGTTATTACCACTTTAAAGGCCCAGAAAGGTAGTAAAGACATCGTTAAAATGTGACTACAGTGGTTCAGCCTTATTGTTATGCAGCGTTGAAAATACTTTTTGTGCTCAAAAAACAAAATAACTTTATTCAACAATTTCTCTTCCGTGTCAGTCTCTGAGCACCACGACTCATGCGTGAGATGCTGATGCAGGAGCCGGCCAATACCGGCATTCTGACGAAGAACCCAGAAGCGCTGCAGTGTGTTTACTACGTGAACAGTGTCAGAGAAGAAATTGTTGAATAAAGTCTTTTTTTCAGCACAAACAGTATTCCCGTCGCTTTATAACAATAAGGTTGAACCATTAGTCATATAGACTATTCAACGAATTCTCATCCCAAAGCGCCATATACAACGCTTTTGCAAAAGCGTAAATATCCAACGCACATGGCACCCTTTAACGTCTAATGAGACGCTTCGGTTATGGTTAAGTTTAGGTATGGTGTAGGGTAAGGGTTAGACCACTAGGGGGCGCCTTCTGCCCAAATATATCTGCGTCTCATTTCACGTTAAAGGGTGCCATGTGCGTTGGATATTCACGCTTTTGCAAAAGCGTCCTATATGGCGCTTTGGGATGAGAATGGGCTCGACTATTTTAACAATGTCTTTACTGCCTTTCTGGGCCTTACAATGTTGCTGTCTAGGGGGGTCAGAAAGCTCTCGGTTTCATCAAAAATAGGCTATCATCATTGTGTTGAAATTATGAATGAAGGTCTTACAGGTTTGGAATGACATGAGGGTGAGTAAATAATGGTTGGAGGTTGAGTCACATGTGAAATGACAGAATTTCCACTTTTGTGCGAACTATCTCTTTAAATTAAATTTAATTCCATTCAATCTTAAAGAACAACTTGTAACCAACATTTACCTTTAGGGTCTCTTTCTTTGTTTCCCTTTACTCCCCTTCTTCTACTACTTTGTCCTTCATCTAGGCATATTTCATTATTACAATGAAACTGCAACTCTAGAAATATGAAGTACTTCTTCCCATTTCTAAATCCCTGTCAGTACAGTCTTTGTGTTTAATGCAGCTCTTCTCTTCTTATGCCTGTATTGTCAAGCTGACATTGTGTTAAAGCTGAGGAAACACAAAAGTCTGATCTCAGAAAACCAGTTCATTCCAGTGAAAGGAAGTGTTAGTCACATACCCGGTATTTATTGCAAGCCACTTCACTTGACAAACAAATAAAAAAGCTTTGGCTTTGGCTAATTTAAAGATAAATTCTATAATTTCTGTGAAGCTCACCTAAAGCAAATAAGTTTCTCCAGGATATTACGCTGATAGGAGAAAGTCTTTAAATTTTTTTTTTTTTTTTACAGTTATACACTTTTTTGTTTACCATCAGAATCACTTTCCATTCCAAAAGATTGGGTGTGAGAACGGCAGACAAAAATGTTCCCAGCTCTCAATTATTGCTAATTATTGTTAATTTGGGGCCAGATTGACAAAGAACCCTCTGTTCTTTAAGAGAACAGGGGATCAACTACAACTACACCTAACTATTGTGATTGCTTTGGCCTTGTGTGTGTTTTACACAGAATTCAATATTTAATTATACACAAATCTCAGAATATTAAATACAAAACAAATCCCTGAATTTGGGGAACATGCATTGTGCGTTGACTTCCAGGTGCCGTCACACTGTGCTGACACAAGTGAGCAATTTCTGCTCTCTTTTTTTCTTTACCTCCCCTCTCTCATGTTTGAGAGTCAGTTCTGTTCTTTTTCTTCAGGCTCATCTCTGCTCTGTATTTGCACTTCAGGTTTGACTGTTTATGTCAGCACAGCGGTATTATTAATCCAGAGCAAAGATGCTGGTCTGTTTCATAGACCTGTATATTACTGGAATGACCTTTCAAGGTCCATAAAATCAGAAAGTATGCCCTATTTTGAATAAACTGTAATAAAAAAATGAGAAAATGCATCTTTAATAAGACGCTGGTGGTGAAAGATAGTCTTGTCATATTTTGCAGTGCATATGTTTCGCAAAGCATTAAAAGTAAATGTTATTGAGATAGAGAGAGAATATAAAATTAGTGTCATTTTAAATTGTAACACACCTTGACTTAGATAGGTATGCATCAGTCGAATATTGTTTTTAGCTGAGCATTCAACCACATCAAACTGTATTAATGCTCACTTTGAGTGAATGTACTACCCACTATCCATGTGTGTACAATTTTACAGCATAGGCTACTATGTTTACTATTACTTTTCATTGTTTCTATGAATGGTGGAAAATTATCTTTTTAAACTAGATTGAACAGTTTAAAAGAGAAACTGTTAGGCGGTTGCTTGTATGGATGGTTGCTAAAGTGTTGCTACGTTGCTGATGTTGCTATGCAGGGTCATCTCGGTAGATAGATGGATTGGATTATTTATGGATTATTATGGATTATTTGTTCGGAACGACTTGAGGGTGTGTAATTCATGACAACATTTTCCTTTTTTGGTAATTTATCCCTGAACAAGGACCGACCGTAGGGTCTGGCATGCGCTATAACAGCGCCCCCCTTCTGCAGACAACAGGAAGACAAGAAGGATGAGCTGATCTCTCTCTCTCTCTCTCTCTCTCTCTATTCAGATAGATTTATTGGCATGAAAAAATCCACAAATTAAAAGAACTGTATGTATTCATAGACATTTGAATTTGAATTCATAGTTGGCCTAATATTATTTTCTAAAATTGACTCTTATAATGCACATGATTACTAGCAAACAGCTTTCCATCTGTGATTGTGCATGTATCAGCCATTATGAAGAGTGACTTTATCAGTACAGCAGGTCAGAAGTGTGCAGGGGACTAAATGGGTCTTCTCAGTGGAAGGAATGTATCAATGATAAGGATGGACTCGGCTGTGCGGACAAACTGAAGCTGTGAACAACCCAAGCCTTCACAGAAGAGTATGTGATGAGTCATTTTGGTTGCCTGGCTATAGAGGTGCAGGCTTTTCAGTTATCTCTGTCAGATGATGTTCCAGCAGAGAGAGAGACAGGGGGGCAGAGAGAGAGAGAGAGAAGCAGAAAGAGAATTTGAAAACACATTTTATTACAATTAAAAATTTAACATTATTTCATTACATCGTTCTCATTTTATAAACACACACACACAAAAACTCTACTCTACTATTTATACATAAACCCATAAAAATACTCCTTTTACTGTAAACAGGTAGCAAAAATTAGTGTCCCTTCATGCACAGAACACAATACCTCTCCACAACACCATTTCACTTCAAACAATGACAAATCATTCATAGCCTTGAAGCAGAAAGAGAGAGAGGCAGAGAGAGAGATAGTTTGACTTTTAGGTCTTCTTTAATCAATCAATAAATACAGAAAAGCCTCATTAAATAAAATATATAAAAAAACAGAAAAAAAAACATATGAGCCTACTTACATTATACATTAAATATGTTATTGCTGGTGTTTTTTTTCTCTTTAGAAATTGAACAGTAAACACTCAACATCACCAATACAATGATTTCTCCATATCATTGACCAATTTATAATATGTAAACTCAATTTCAATACAGGATTTTAATAACCCTTTTAACACAACATCAGTTGACCCAGCATCGATCAAGCGATGTTTTCTTGATAGCCATATCGCCAATTTTGCCTGCAAAAGAAAGTTTAACATGTTCTTCCCTCCTACTTTAATATACTTTGGTCCATGACGTAAAAACTCCCCCTAACTTTTGAACCCACTCTAAGATTCCAAATAAGGATTGAAGTCTTTCACACTTTAAAAACAAATGTCATCCTCACTGCAAAATGGACAACCCATCCCTACCTCTCTGTGTCTTTAGCTATAATCAGCTATAATCTTTAGCTCAATGGGTAGCTTATACAGGGACCTCCGGCATCCTTTAGGGGATTCACCTGGCCCCAGAACCTCCATCTATTTGGACTCACTGACACTCTGCAGTGTGTTAAGATGCCACACTTTCACACACATAGTGTAAATGGCTTTCTTATCAGTGTCTCCAAAGGCGGCCACATAAGGTATCTTAAAAGACAGATTTTATTCAAAGTTTTAAAGCAAAACTTTTGTGGCTTATCCAACTTTTTAAAAATCTTTTTAAGTGTTCAATCTTCATCATATTTGTCTGATTTAAAAACGTCTGATTTCTCACCTTTCTTAGGATCATTGAGACCCCACGAGGTGATATCTTGCATGGAGCCCCAGTCCGAGGGAGATTGACAGTTTAGCTTCTTCCATTTTCTAATGATTGCTCCAACAAGTGGACCTTTTTTCACCAAGCTGCTTGGCAATTTCCCCGTAGCCCTTTCAAATAAATAATTAAAAAATCATATATTGTGATTTCTGGATTTCTATTTTTTTTTTTGGATTATGTCTCTCACAGTGGACATGCACATACGATGACAATATCAGACCCCTCCATGATTTCTAAGTGGGAGAACTTGCAAAATAGCAGGGTGTTCAAATACTTATTTTCCTCACTGTAAATTCAGTTTGTCAAAGTCCATCAAGAACAAATGGCGATCCAGCCCCATGTTTCCAGCTCTTCTTAGGAGGGAGAGGGAGGGAAAGAGACCCATCATGAATGCCTGGGGGTGATTAAAGCTTTGCTCTTTAATTACATCAATGCAACCACCTGTAAGATTATTACAGACCAGTAGGTTGAGATTCAATGTGCATTTACATCAAATGCAAATAGCCAACCGTCCACTGGCCTACTACATTTTACCTTACTCCTATGCTAGTACAAATAACACATTGTGAATAGCATCTATAATTAGGCAATTTGTATTTTGTAAACTAGTTGTTATTTGTACCTTTGATAGCATTTACCTTCAACACTTTAGCTTTATCTTCAGTAGGTGTGTCGCCTGCATGAGGGACTTAAATAAGAGATAAAGAACAACAAATGTTAGTGAATATGTGTTGATTGATTAATAATTAAAACCAAATTATAGTGTTTCTTAGAGTATATAATATATTTCCTCCAAATATTTTTAATGCACTATGTTTAGAGTGCTAATGATTTAATACGATGCAATAAAGGTCAACTTGTGATATTCGTATGTAAAACGCAGAAAGTTTGGTGAAATTATTTTCTGGTGAACAGCGCCATCAGCTGGTTTCGTGACAGTCCTACATGTGAAGTGCTCGGTGCTGCTTTCGCCATTTCAAACGCAACATCCGGTTGTGCAGCAGCCATTTTGTCTGTTCAGGCAAGTCCACCCCACACGGTCAAGAACTGACGTTCCCCCTTGGAAAATATTTCAGAAATATCACAGCCGACACTTTTCCATGTTATATACGGAAGTGGAAACGGGCTGAAAAAATACCTTATTGAATTCTACGCTCGAGAATACCTCTCGAAGGCTGATGTGTCTTGTTTTTTTTGAGTGAGCGTCATTAATCGGGGTTATGTCGAGCGAGGAGAGTTATCTAGCCATCCAGCGCTACTTGACCGATGAACGGGAGCCTTACGCACCGGGCACGCACGGCAACACCAAGAGAAAGATCCGAAAAGCAGCTACTTGTTACATAGTGCGCAATGGGATTCTTTATTACCAGAGGCGACAGAAAGGTCTGGATGAATTCACGGAGCTGGAAGTGGTGCTGCAGGCCGAGAGGCGGAAGGAACTCATCACTGAGGCGCACATCACGTCCGGAGGGGAACACCTCAACCAGCAGCAGACATGGGAGATCATCTCCCAGAAATACTGGTGGAGAGGTACACTAATCACAACTTTAATGACCGCAAAGCTTTCCAACTCTGTGATGCTGTACGTGACAGCTGGTATCGCTTAAATGTTTCTTGTTAGTCTGTCACAGCAGGTGACAGGAAAGGAAGCTACAGCTGGATACAGTGGATAAGTGTCAATAATAAACATCATAGAAAAGATTATATTTTATGACGTGTTTACTGGCGCGAGGGATGGACAAACTCACTCATTACATCACACAGCCATAGCAGGCTAAACCACAATGATCAAACAATCCAAACAGTTCCCGATAAACAAAATCATCTCCCACCACATATATATATTTTTCTTTATTTTTTACTTTTGTCACTTTTTTATGTTGTAGTTGTTAACAGAGTTGTATACATTTGTACATATTTCCTTGTTTAAGCTGCAGTTTCACTCAGATGTACTTCATAATAGGGAAGGACAAATTGCAACTTCTGATTAATGCCAACTTTAAGAATCCTTGTATGTTTAGATATTAATAAGACTTTAACAAGATTAATAAGATCTTTGAGACAAATTCTGTTATTATATGTAGCCTAAACCTAGTCTTCTTATCGCAGGTGTACTGAAGCAAGTGAAGGATTGCATAAAAGAGTGCAGTCACTGCCAAAGCAAGCAGGAGAAGGGGAGAGGCAATGCTGAAGATGCCACGAAACAAGCTGTCCGACAAGTTAGACGAAAGACCTCTGTCTATGCCAGCGAGGAAGAGGATGATGAGGCAAATGATGATTTGGATGAGGAACAGTCCAATTCAGCTGATAAACACGAACTGGTGTTTGTAAGTACAGAATGCCATTTGTGTCACTGAATATATCTATACAATTATTTATAAATATATTTGTAGATAAGTTGATGGATATATTCTTTCATGCATGGTTATAGGTGGATAGTAAGGGAGTTGTCAAGCAGTTCTTACCAAAGCATGGGCAGACGATGCTGGACAGGTTGAACCAGCAGCGACTGAGAAATGAGTTTTGTGATATCACCCTGATCATTGAGGGTGAGGAGCATCGGGCACATAAAGCTGTACTGGCCTCCTGCAGTGATTATTTCTACGAGCTCTTTGTGGAAAAGGGTGCTGTGACCAGTCATGAAGCTGTCGTTGACCTCTCTGGTGAGAAGAATGCAGGATGCTGTTGATTGAAATGATGAAACATAAACAATTTATTGAGGTTTCATTTTATTCTCTGTCCCAAACCCTAGTGGGCTATTTCACAGTCAGCATCCAAACCAAAATGTAACCTCAAAAGTGGTTTTGATTTATTTTTTTAAAAAATACTTCCCTTGATCTGAGTGGTACAAGACTTGGCTACTTTTCCTAAGTTTTCCTCCTGAACACATGATTTTTTTTTTACTTAATTCTACAATGTTAAGTGGGTGAAAAAAACTATTATATTATATTGTATTTGGGTCAAAAATGGGCACCCATAGAAATGAATGGGAAAAACTGTAATTTAGAGCATTCTAAAATAAGCCAAAATAAGACACCAGGTGACAGCAAAGTCACTTCATCTTTAGCTCTAAATACGTATTGGAATGATATTTTAATGTAGTTACACATTAAAAAAAAATATATATATATAAAAATAAGCATAATTTACATATGCTTATTATGGTACTTTTTGAAGTAAATAAATTCAAAAATACTCCCAAAATAAAAAAACACCATAAATTCTTGCAAATTCTTTTTAGTAATTAACAATAAATGAAAAATTTATATATATATATATATATATATATATATATCATATATCGCCTGTCATAGCAAATAAATTATTTTACAGAACTGTTAAACAAATACAGCTAGAAATCAGAAAATACTCATTCATATCATTTGAATAAGTTATTTTATTTTATTTTTTTTTTTGAACTTTTTATTTATATTTTTCACAGAACATAACAAAAGGAACATTATCTGAGACAATAAGAGATTTCAAGTGACAAAATAACAAGAATAAAATAAGGAAAAATAAATAAATAAATAAATAACCAAATACATACAAATATTCGGTATATATATAGCTGCACCTAGTATTAATGTTCGCATCTCAACAAACATAATACAATAATATACAGCGTTATAATGATATAAAATATATAATGTAACAAAATATAAAAAAAAAAAAAAAAAAAAAAAAAGAATTATAGATTTAAATATTCTCTAACCATATGCCACCTCTGATTAAAAATGTCAGTTTTCAATTGTAATGATGCAGTAATTTTTTCCATCATGTAAATCTGTTTTAGTCTCTGTTTCCATTCGGTTACAGTTGGTGATTTCACAGACTTCCAATTAGCAGTAATATTTTTTTTAGCGATTAGTAATAATACTCGTAATATATATCTTTGGTCAGCATTGAAAACATCAACTGATATGACACCCAGTAAGAAAAAACGTATATTCGAGGGAACTTCTCTTTTTACAATTTTCTCCATCTCTTCTTTAATACTTTTCCAATATGCAAGGATTACTGGACAATCCCAAAATATATGTGTATGGTTACCTGTTTTACCACATTGTCTCCAGCATAAAGCTGCAGAGGGGTCTTTTACAAACCTTGAAATAACCAGAGGAGTATGAAAATAACGTATTTTAATTTTCCAGTCAAATTCCTTCCACTGTTGACTATTAATTCCCTTATGGCACCTATAACAGAGTTTATCCCATAACTCCTCCTCTATTACTGTATTAGCTTCTATTTCCCATTTTTCCTTAATATTATAAGTGCTTCCACCCGTGCCTATTAACAATCTTTTATAAAGATGAGAAACATGTTTACCAACAGGGAGGCGTGAATAAGTTATTTTAATATCTAATAATATAAAAAAGTTTTTAATTCCATAAACCTCACAGATAATAACAAATCCTCTGTTGAATCCAGATCAAATACCACATCCTTTTTGTTATTTATTCCTTGTATTTGTGAAAAATATGATGATTATATAAATAATAATTTGCTGTCTAAAGTATAAATCTCCTTTTTTTGTATTAATTGATCTTAAATTTATTTTCTAAATTTAGAAAATTATGTAAAATGAATTGCATTTGATTGAAGCGCGTGTGTAATTTACTATCATTAAATTATATAATATTATATATTTTGGCTTCATATCATCCATCACCCACCTTGCTCTCTAAGATAATACTCTCTAAGATAAGATATATTTAGAATCAAAAAAATATATTTCAGTCAAGCGCTAATGTCTAAACTGTTGCCTAGATAGGCAGCTTCCTAGCTTCCTACTAGTTTGTAATTTGTGTGAGAACATTAACCTGTTAAAGGTAGGACTACACTATGGAACTTTTTGCCCATCTAATGGTTAAAAAAGAAAACTGCATGGATTTTGCAGAAGAACATTGTTTTTGTTTGTCCTTCGGCTCTGTGTGACTTCGCAGATGAATATCACCTTTTACAATAAACTCTGCGAATGGCAATTTATCTGTTTAATAAATACCTTACTCGCCTGTTGAGAAATAAAAACGTATTCTCGGCATCGCATTTACAGTGTTTCAAAACACATGCATGCAATTTTCCTCAACAACCATGTCAAGTTGGTAAACTATAAACACTTATAATAGTCAATCAAGATAAGACAAAAACATGTTTTGGAAGAAGGATTGATGATGTATTGACTGAATATATATGCATATTTTATGTATTCAAATCGTAATGGATTCTTTTGTGTTGTTTTACCTACCAGGCTTCAGCAAGGCCAGTTTTCTTCCCTTAATGGATTTTGCCTACACCTCCAATCTGACCTTTAACTTTTGTGTGATGGCAGAGGTAGCCACACTGGCACGGCACTTACTGATGGCTGAAGTGCTTCAGATCTGTGAATCTGTGCATAAGAAAGTAGAAGAACAGAAGCTGATGGTCTATCAGAGAGGAGACATCCACACTGTGGTGGCCAGCCCGCCTGCGCCCCCTCAGCCAGTCACACCCACCGCTTCCGAAACTTATGTGGTAACTATGCAGAGTGATGACACACCTGAAGCAGGACAGTCTCTAGCTGTACTTGCAAGTGAAAATCGGGACGGCTGAATCGCTGGCTTTGCTTGCTGGCGCGACCATCGATGGCGAAACAATGACTGTAGTTACTCATAGTGGACAGGCTGGCTCAGCTGAGTCTCTCGCCATGGTGGCTCACAGCGGCCAGGCAGAGGAAGGTGAGACCATGACTTTGGTCACTCACTCCGGGCCGGGTTCAGGTGAGTCCCTGGCTGTGTACAGGCTTGTTGGTCTGTAGAGGAGCCACTGGTTGGTGACACTCCTGTTGCAGAGTGTATACAAACGGGAGCCTATCTAATTAGTGTGGATCCTGGCAAATTGGAGGCTTCTGATATTGTGCATCTAGCTGCGGCAGCGCCACCTGCTGTGCAGGATGAGCCCCAAGCTACTGAGCCCACATGCCAACCTGAGCCAGCCGCAGCAGCACCACAGCCAGCCCCTGCACCGGTCAGGAGGAGGCCAGGAAGACCCCCTAAAGTGAAGCAGCCGGAACCACCACCACCTCTTCCTTCAGAGGAGGAGCCCATAGAGATGGAGGGGGTTGAGGATGGATCCGGTGCAGATGAAGAGA